CGACAGCGCTAGCGTGGTCCTGTCCTGTCGAGGCCTCTCTTGGCCCCCCCGTCACGGTCTCGCCTGGCCCTTGTGGGTGTCTCCTGCTGACACAGCAGCGTGTTGCAAGGAGGAGGGAGGTTCAGTAGGGCCACCTCTCCTGGCAGAGAGGGACGAGGTGGGAACAGATCAAGAAAACCTGTGATTTCCCATGGTCCTGCCCTGCCTCACTAGTCCCATAGTTGTCCCGGACCCCTCTGCTCCTACAGCTGGAACTTTACTGCTTTTAACTGTTGATAAAGTGATTTCAGTCGGGTGGTATTTGGGTTTGTGGCACGCAGGTTATTGCCAGCCTTTCTGGGGATCATCACTGTGTGTGGTAGCCCTTGCGTGGCCCAGCCCCGAGCCACAGAAGGAGCAGGACGCTGCTCCTCCGCCTCCATGCCCTTGGGAGCAGCCAGTCCCGTGGGCGTGTGACAAAGAGATGAGTCGGTGACAGGGCTGCTCCGTGAGGCTGCTGGGGACAGGAGCAGCCTTGCCAAGTTTCCTCCTGCTTCCTGGAGTGTATCCCTGGAACCCGGTATCCCTGCTTCCAAAGGGAAGGCTTCCCAGCTGTCTTCATTGTGCCATGTCCTGCGGTAGCTCCAGGTGCTCCCAAAGGGAGTGTTTGAGCACGAGGTGCCCCGTCAGAGCCGGTTGTGCTTCCCAGTGCTGCCGGATTTCCCCTCGTGAGGAGGTGCGGAAGGGGCCAGGCAGGACGGCGCCCGTGCCTGCTGCGGTGGCTGTCCCCACAGCACAGCTGGCACCTCCTGTCGTGCCCAATGTGCTGCTTGGGAGGATGCTCTCTTGCTCCTGTTCAGAGGGGAGAGTGGAGAAGCTGAAGGCCTGCCTAGTCTGACGGGTTTGCACCTTTTCAAAAGCTTTACCTCGTGCTTCGTTGCAGGACTCTGAAGTCTCCTTCCATGGGCACTGTTTCTGGTTGAGCTTCTGGGTGACCCGCGTCATCCTTTGAGTTTCAGGATCCTTTTTCTCAGTTTTTTTTCTCCCCCTTTTTCCACGCAGAGGCAAGTGGAGACTAGTGTCCGTAGTAAAATCCTGTACCTCATCCAGGCCTGGGCTCATGCCTTCCGCAACGAGCCCAAGTACAAGGTGGTGCAGGACACCTATCAGATCATGAAGGTGGAAGGTAAGGGCGTGTGGGCACGGGCGAGCAGCTCCGCTCGGGAGCAGCTTTACAGGAGGAGTTGGGACCAGGCAGGCGTCAGTGGGATCTGGCCGTGCAACACTGGGCTTCTCCTTCGTGCCTGGTACGAAGTGAAGCTCTTGGGGTGACTGAGCCTCGCTGCTGAAAGAGGGAAACCTTCTCGTCTGCCCTGGGATTGGGGGCTCCCTTCTCTGGGCCTGCAGCCCAGCTGGGGTTGAGGGTGGGCAGCAGGAGCCGCGTAGCCACACGGGCTGTCCCTGCGACGGGCTGCGGGTGCGCAGGAACCCGCATTGCTGGCAGGCCCCGTGTCCCTCTGAGGGACATCACAGGGGTTTGTAGTGCGTGCTCGAGAGCGTTGCAAGCCCTGGCCTCCTGCAGGAGGCAAAGCACTGTCCCCTCCTATCAGGATAAGTGTTTGGATGTGGCAGACACACTGAGCTGGGGTTGGTGTGCGGGGTGGGGACCTGCGCCGCCGGGTCCAGCCCTGTCACCGCAGCGGGATGCTGCCGCTTCTTCCGCAGGCCACGTGTTCCCGGAGTTCAAGGAGAGCGATGCCATGTTCGCTGCAGAGAGGGTGAGCGCTGCTGCTGGGGCGGTGCTGGCGCTGCCGAACGGGCCTTGCTCCTGTGGCTGCTCAGGCTGGGTCCCCGTCCCGCTGGGCACAGCTGCCCAGCAGCCTGCGGGCACCCAGGGGTGGTGAACGGCACGTGGGAAGGATTCTCCTTCCTGCCCAAAAGTGCTGGGGGGAGAACTGATGGGAATGGGGCCATTTTCCTGAGCGAAATTTGATCAGGAAGAGGATGACAAAGGGCCTGCTCAGTGGCTTTCCAGCAACACAACAGTCTCAGTGGGTATAAAGGTGTTGCTGAACTGGTTGCTGTACAGACGTGTTCCTGGAAGACCACTTGCTGACTGGAAGAGCATCCCAGTCCCTAGTAACTTGAGAGGTGCCAATCCGCAA